TTAAAATAGAGTGACAAACTCAATTGTAGCATTTTCGATACCTACAAACAACAATGAATTTTATATCACAATTACGATTTACCATTCAGCAGTTTTGTATCCCTGGCTTGGATTCTGGTACTAGTCGACATACAACCAGTAGATTTATTAACACATTTCAGATCATTCACAGTTCATATAGACGTAATAAGTAACGGTAGTAGCCTATCACATCATATAACACATTATAACTAGCATATATTATATACACTCCACATAATGCTTAAGAGTATCGGTCCTGTGTATAATAAACCCAAGGAAAATAGCATGATTATGTTAGCCACATCATAATGAATTCATATCGGGATATAGTATTCGCTGTAATTACCGCCCCTCACCCTTTTTCGGGAGGAAGTGAGGAAGTGAAATTATATGAACCCCCTCCACCTCCCAAGACCTGATCAGGCCTGGTTAGTGATATACATTACCTACACTTTACAGAAGAGATTTACGTACGGTGATCATGGCTGGACTTCCCGTGAAAGTGGATGAAACATTTGAAACATCCAAACTTCCAGCCACATTGGAATGTGTATACTGTCCTTCTCTTGTACGGTAGCAATGGTTGAAGTTGTACATATTGTTTCATCATATAACTCACGTTATATTATCCTAATCAGTTCCCCCCTTTTAGGGTAATCTTTTCAGCGTCCTAGGCACTAATTACAGCGAATACATCGATAAGTCCTCTGAAGTCATAAATGATAACTGCATTCAAATTAAGGATAAAAAAATATTGATGTCATCTTAATTATTTGTCATGTTACGTTAAGTATGACAGTGTTGTGTGGTCCATCCAGATTAAAAATACATGATTAAAAATACATCATATTTCCAATGAAAATTTTGCTCTAAATAGTACGGTAAACCTCATCACTCACTTTAAATTTCCCAAATATGAATTATAAGTTACGGACGCATCAGTATGTTCTCGATACATGGAACAGCTTGTTATGGTAACATGGATATATTAAGTCTGTGATTAAAATCGTCTCTATACATACATTTACACATCCACAAAATTCGCTGTCGATTCCCATGCTACAACAAGAATTAGCTACACTGTACTGGTATATACCGCCTGTCTATGATAACAATCTATACAATATTGAATCAAAATAAAACATTTAATGGAACAAAATATAATCACCTGATAGAACATCACATCAGTTCAGAAAATGGAGAACTCAAGCTTGAATTCATCCTTTTATCGTACCTATGTCACAGTAAATATCCAATTTTGTAACTTTTACATTCCATTTTCGCCATTGCTTTAATAAAATTTTGTTTGCTTATTATCTTGAACCTGTACAGTATATGATTAAGGTCCCTTTGTCATTACTGAATAATTACTCTGCATGTTTCCCTCGATATAATGTCAAACCCCAAAATAATGCCAAATGCTGGTGACAATTTAATGACATTAAACTGAGGTTAAACTGCACTTAAAAACTGCAGTAACTATCAACTTACAGCCATCTGTCAAATTAAAGGTCACAACAAAAGGTTTCTTCTATATTTCATGCCTATCTCTCTCTCTTATTAAATTTTTTCTTTCACAATATTTTTAGTCATTTCCATTTAATGATTTACAAAATGCAATAAATTATTCTAAGGAATTTTTATTTTATTTTTAATTTGAAAAAAATAATCTGAAAATTTCTGAAAAATCACTGTCTAAAGGTGAAAATGCTCATTATGAAATATAGCAGAAAAACCCTTGTCACCTTCAGTTCGTCAAAAGACTGTACACTGTTACCTATTATTTCTTAATAACACATGTCCAACACATTATTGAATAAGTGTATTTACAATTCAATCTATAGACTATATAAACATAACTGACTCAAAACAGTGCGATTGCTAAAACACAATTTGGTAAAACAATTTCAACAGATAACAAAGTACGGAAAAAGAATTTTTCAAAACCCATCTTGTTTCTTTCACAGAATAATGAGGAAGAATATTAGAAACCGTATTACAACAGAATTTTGTTACCGATATATTACAAGAGAACCTGGCTTTGAAATCAAGCGTTACAGACAGAAGCCCCTTGTTATTGAAAATCCTAATATCACCATAATCATAAATGCATATTGAATGTCTGCCTAATCAAATAATCAAGTATTATTCCTATTCAAACAGAACAATCATCATAACAGCCGTCACCAACGTAATATTCACGTCAGTGTCGTGTCATTTTACTGCCATCAAATCTGAAATATATCTGAAGAGGCACTTTTCAAGGCCAATACCAGGTCTAAGGTCAATCTTAAACTGACAGATTTTTAGCGTTCAGTAGATACTCTTTTGAAGGGAAATTGAAACTATGAAATAAGATTTGATGCCACAGATTTAAAATTCAAATTGACCATAGAAAAGCTGCCTAAAATGACTGGGTTTTCAATATATCTGAATAAGGGCCGAATCAAAATGTTGTAGAACAAATTTAAACTTCATACTGGTATTGAATTGGAAAGGTGCTTTGTGCCATGATGCGAGTAGCCATGCGAGTTCAAAATTGTTAGATAAGTCTTTCATCAATAGTTCATACATTTACAATTTATTTTTGACACTCTGTCCGATTTCAACCTGAAAGAAACTTCGATATATGGAAAAATTGGTCGAAAAGACAACCCCAAAGCTTGCAATATTTTCAGTTTAAGTACATATATACAAATCCATTTCATCGTAAAATAAAATACTTGAATCAACTATCACAACTAGTGTTAATTACAGAACACATATATATACAGAGTTCATTTCATTGCCTCGCTGTTTAAACAGTAATGATAAATTGAAAATACAAAATGAATTTGAAATGTAAAATAACAGAGTAACTTTGTACAACAAATACATGGTCAATATTGGTAGATATATAAAGAATTTTATTGAGAACTACACTAAATCACTAATCAACGTATGTATATAGATATATGATGTTGACGGGAGTTAAACAAAACATCAGGTGAAACAGTATTAAACACTTAGGAATCTCCATACAGCCCAAGGAGTAACAGACAACACAAGTATGTTACATAAACTCTTTGAATAATAAAACAATGAATATAATTCGTAATATCACGTGTTGAATGACACAAAATCGATGTGTCAGGGTAGCGTGCCGAGTGCAATTCCACCCTCGCCTAGGCCAAGTCCCTTAATACAGAATGACACAAATCATGGTCAGGACAGTGTTACAGGGCGTTGTGCAGAGTCCACCGACACCTAGGCGGAGGCGGATCTAGTAACCTGGGGAAATCAAACGTTCCGTCCAAAACATTTATCAACGTTAACTGGCCTTACAAAGCACAAATGTATATCAATTCATTAAAACTCCCCACCCCTTGTAAGCATGCAATCCAGGTAAAGTTAAGGCAAATACAATTTTCTATTTCTAATTATAAACAATATTTTATACTGCATATCGTTCACCCGGTACTTCAATTTAAACTCCAGTCAATCTGAAATTTTATGGAGCAGTTTTAGTACAATCACAGAAATCTTTGAAGATTCTGCCTAATTAATTTGGAATTACTTGGGTTATTCCGTCTTTGCATATTGCAGAGTTATCTTCTCTTGGGAGCAGGTATTGATTGTTACGTCACTTGTTTGTGAGAGTAACGTCATAATTTTTTGAGAAAACGACGTAATTTTCTCACACAAACCAATGACGTAACAATCAATACCTGCTCCTAAGAGAAGATAACTCTGCAATACGCAAAGACGGAATAAGTGGATCACCAACAGAACCCGCCGACACTCTGGAGTTCTTCTGTAACTGAATCTACAAATTGGTTGGAAACAGATAACCATGCTGACAAACAAAATGTAAAATTAACTTGGAAAAGACACTTGCTGATCTTTTTTTAGAGAGTGTCAGTGATTATGACAAAAAAAAAATCAACTGAATTGTTTTAACGTTTACAGATATTTAAAAAATAAACAACTGGAATGATCAGACCTCTCAGGTGCAATAATTATCATATGACAGGTAACAGGCGTGCCATATTTATCTACCCTAACTCACAGACGTTTTAATCAAATTGTTTTAACCATACAAACAACAAACAGTACAAGTTATATATACGAACAGCGAGTTCTGCCCTTACAAAAATCGTCTTACGAGCTACTGATAATAACAAAAAAATAACAAATATGTAACAAAATTTGGTCCTTCATACTTCTGTAGGAAAAATGGTCCCAGTTTTAAACCCTGTCAATTATACTGAAGATATTGGTCACATTTTCATACATGGCTTCATAGCAAAAGGAAATATTATGGTCACAATTTAGAACATGCTCTTCACAGCAAACTGAAATATTGGTCACAATTTTAAACATGTTCTTTATAGCAAAGTGAAATATTGGTCACAATTTTAAACATGTTCCTTATAGCAAAGTGAAACATTGGTCACAATTTTACATACGCTCTTTATAGCAAAGTGAAATATTGGTCACAATTTTAAACAAGTTTTTCATAGCTCAAAGAGAAATGTTGGTCCATTAGTTTATACATTTTTAAAAGCAAAGAGAAATATCAATATTGGTCCCAGTTAAAAACTTGGTAAAACATATCCTCCTTAAAATTGATTCTTGTAAAAATTATAATTAAAAATACACATTTTATAAAACTTCAGATGAATGTTGATTTGAACAAGCTAAACGTCGACTGCAGTCAGGATGTAATGTGTGTGTTTAAAGTTTTATAGATATGAGGCCACTTCAGTTTTATCACATTCACATAGTCGGACCAGAGGTGTGCTTTGGTGAGGTGTGTGTGGGGTGAAAGAAACGGTCAGTTTAGTGATACATTCCAATATGGCCGGACTAGTTGGACCAGTGTTGCTTGTTTATGAAACAAGGACATGCCTAGTGGTCATATGTTATTTCCTAGCAAGACTTCGCAAAGAAAGTCTTCATTCACATGAAAAAAATCAGGTCTTGAGGGATTTCCCCCAAAAAGTATATAAATCAGTTGTTCCAGATATCATAAAGGCCCCGATGTTTTACTAAGAAGTGACAAGAGATACGTAAGGTGCTCACTAGTACAGCTATTATAGTCTATCTGTATGTTAACTGTAGTGGGGAGTCGTGTTTTTTATGTACATATACAAGTATATCATGATTTTTTCTGTTAATGTCAACATTCTGTATTTACAAAATCTCTGTATAGTATTTAAAATAAATGGTCCCCATCAGAATATATATATAAAAAAAAACATTTCAACAAAACAAAAGTTGTTAATAGCAAATACACAAAATTAAATTGAGCATGCTTTTTCACATACGGGACCAGACATCATGAAAACTAACTCAATTATGTCTTGTCAATATGCCTCTGTATCAATTACAATGATCCCTCCACAGCAATGCTGCTTTACACAGTCATCCATTCCACTATTATACACATCTACATATATCTTTAACAGGTCCATGAGTGGCGAAAATAACAATCTGAAACTTCCTCCGTAAGATACACAATATACAAAATCTCATAATTACCTCCCTTTTCAGTTAATTCTATTTAATGCTTCCATACAATTACTCTATGCCCCTTATTTTCACCAGTTTTCAAGATCACGAATGTATGTGCTCCCAGTCTCCTCGTCTTTCTGAGGTATCCTCGCATTTTTTCAATCAAAATACCGATATAAACTGTTACTTCCTATAACAGTAACCCCTATGCAAGTCTTAGGCTAATTTCCTCCATTGGGACACCTCAGCAAAACGTCCTCACTGCAAGAAGACTGGATATATCTGTTGTCAGCTGCTAAGACTTTCTTCTAGAATACTGAGGTATTGTTGGCATGTTTTAGTTTTTAAAAGGAAATGGAAATATTTCACATCACAAAATTAATCTGTTAATTTGGCGCGAGCAGTCAACAGAATTCAGAAGCGTCCTCCATTTTTGTAACTTTTATAATACAGTTGCCGTCGAGGTGCTTCTCCAGATTTTTCTGTGTGACAAAACCCTCGCCACAGTGGTTGCACTCGTTGCGTGACTTAAGGATGTGTATTTGGGACTTCATGTGGCGGTTCAAGTCGGACTGTGTCACCCCCTTATAGTTGCACACTTTGCAGCAGAACTCGCGTATACCTGAAAACAGACAACAACCATCAGAGATACGACAACACCGCTTTCATTTGGATGGCTTTTAAAGGTCCAGTGAAATTCATCTTCATAACCTAATTAACTTTTCACAATTTTATTTTCAGTAGAAATATTTAAAAAAAAAAAAATATATGTTTACTTTTCAATAAAATATTTACTTTTCACAAAATGTTCAAAAAGTTTCAAATAATGTTAATAGTCTACTAAAATTATGCTTTGAATAAGAAAGAAAAGCTCTGACTAAATTCATGCACTCAAACTGACTATTAGAAACCTTGACTTCATCCAATCAAACTGACTATTAGAAACTTTGGCTTCGTCCAATCAAACTGACTGTTACATACCTTGATGCCTCATCATGTGAACCTTGAGTTGACTGTTGGTGCGTGCAAAGTAGTCGCAGAACTTGCATTTATACGGCCGGATATCTGTTAAACAAAAAATCGTTGTAGGTAAACAAAACAATCACATTACATAATGAAATGTATTACAGATTCTCTGATGAAGAAATTATTAAAAAATTCTTGGAGAACAATATCCCCTTTGGATACAATTATCTTTCATCTAAAAACACATTATTTCAATAACAATGACAGGGACCACAGAATGTGACTTCACTAGATCAGTCATGAATTGAGGAAGTTCCAGTTACCATGGCAGTCTAGCAATGCAGTCGAAAACCTTTTAAGAGAGTCACTCATTTCAACATATGGTAATTTCATGCCAAAGATTATGCAAGACTCTTCCAAGCCAAGAGGAATAGTTTTCAAACTGATAGAAGAGTGAGGGTACGTGCCAGTTTGCATCAATTCGAAAATACAAAGGGTGGAATATCTTCATCCTACTTTCTCTCATTCCATTTACATAATTAGCTCAGAAACCACATCAAGCCGTCACAGCTTCCTAATGTGTGATGTCATTATTGTTGTCACAATGTCAAGATAGAAACTTCTTATACCCCTTAACAACTCTGTCATATATGCGAAGAAATGAGACACTTTTTTAAATCATATTTTTCATATTCTTAACCCTGGAAAGGGATTTCCATGCAGTTGTTTTGCAATGACCGGCATAAAATCAGATTTCTTAATTTTTCCAGCAGGTGCTCTACCTTCGTGGAAGTCCATATGTCTGTTGATGTCGGAGTAGGAGAGGAAGTCCTTGCTACAGAACGGACATCTGTACACCTGGCGGCCATCAGTCAAGGTCATAGGCTTACAGACCTTGTCCCTGTTGACCGGAGCATTCACAATGGGTAGTCTGAAAGCGAGGAAAACATTGAGAGTGATTATCACAAACAGCCAATGGAAATAACTGGATTACTTAAAAATTTGCAGTTTGAGTAGATCAGTTCATCCTAATCTGGACTGAACTAACACAGAGAAGATAATCTGATTTAAACCAAATTCTTGACTCCGTTCCTCTAGGAGCTACAGTATAGGATCTAAAACCATACATAAGGGTTCATGTTCTGGTAACCTTTTATACCTAAATGCTTTGCAAGTGTTTTTCAATGCCTGCAGTTTCGGGAGTATCGCACCGATTGGCTGGTGTAAAAAGTCACCATAGCATGACCCCTTGTTTTGGTGTCAATTCCTACACTTTGTTGTATCCTATAACCAGAGTGAAGAGTTTGATTCAAATTGTTCTAGAGGGACAGAAAAATCATAAAGTAACCTGCCCACCTGTACTGGTATAAAGTAACCACCCGAAAGTGATGACATTGAATCGAGACAGGATGTAATGTGATGGGAAAGACATGGGTAATAGTCTAATAGTATGCCCCCTCACAAAATAGTGGGGGCGTAGAAATTGAACACTATATCTGACTTTTATTCCTGGGACATTCAACAAATGATTTGAAACGACATTTTTCAGAAAAAAACATTTAACATGTCTACTTGAAAATCCGAAACTTGAAATTCTTGTGTATAGATCGAGTTTATAAATGTAACACGTCTCTTTGGTTTAAGTGATACACAGCATATTTTTATGCACAACACTAAATCATTAAGCAACATACCTTGAGTGTGTACGAGAAAGGGAGGTAACTTTGCGCCCGTCAGCAGATATCTGGCTCCAGGTGAAGCCAGAGCCTGAGGTAGGAGGAGTTTCGTTTGGCGACCACTGGACGCGTGGGTACCCCACCAGCATGTCCCGGTCATTACCGTCCGAGTTGATGGGGGAGGGGTCAGACGACATTGGAGTAGAGCTGTCTGTGGGCAGGGGTTCCTTCGCTGAAATTTGATTGGCTGAGTTTGCAACCTGCACCATACCAATGATGTTGCCAGGGATGGGGGAGGGGAAGGCCGAGTTTGAGAGAAGCATCATAGGCTGTGGTTGGCCAGAGGTAGAGCCACTGCCACTCGTTAGGATCATTTGGCCGGGGTTCATCAGGAACTGAGCGACTTGTGGATTTGCAGAGATGAAGTTAGATGTTGGAGCAGATGTGGGAGGCAAGTCGGCCTTTGGGGACAATGGTTCCTGTTTTATCTGTACGCCACCAGGGAGATCTGATGTTTCTGGCAAGGTGGCAACAGCAGCTCGAGCGGCCTCACTGTTGATGAGGAGTCGGGTGGGGATTTGGAAGGCGGCAGCTGGTGCTGGGGTAGGAATGGACACCTGTAATGGAGCAGGAGGTGGGATGGAGGCATTTTGGAGCTTCACCGGCTGAGACGATTTGCGCTTGGACTTATTCGTTTCCTTGCCTAATGAGCGCCTCGGTATCATCGCAGTGACCAGCCCGTCTTGGCTGTTAGCCTCACTACTCTCCTCCGAGTCACGCTCTGACCAAACATCTAACAGACGGGGACCATCATCCATGTCAATATCTGGGTCATCATCTGGGCCACAGGGCATCACCACAGTGACATCCTCCTGTATGCCTTCCTTGATGAGTAACTCACGGGCACGTTCCTCATGTGACTGACGCGTGGAGTCATGGACGTCTGCGTCAGGTTGTTTGCCTGCCTTCTTACTTAGAAGATTTGACAGAAGTGAATGTTTTGTGGAGGGTTTGATATGGGGTTTAAGTGTATGGTGGTTGTCTTTGAGGCCATGGAATAGTGTCAGATGTTGCCGCAGAGAAGTGAACTCTGTGAAACCTTTACCACACTCCTGACAATAGCACTGTTTGTGGCCACTGTGTATCTTGATATGTTTGAGTAGGGAAATCTCCCTGTGGAATGACTTACGACACACTAGGCACACATAGGAACCATTACTGTTCTTGCGATATTTCAATCCACGCCAGAATCGACACAACACATCGTTTCCACGATCCTCGTTATCCTTCTTGAATATACTGGCATTGTTGATCTTGTTCTCAGCTGGGGACGAACTTCCCTCTCTCTCATCGCTATTCTCATCGTTTCCTTCCGACTTCACCTGAATTCCGGAATCCATGTCGGAATTGGATGTGTCGTTGTCAGCATCGTTATTCTTACACTCACTCTCATGTCTTTTACTGACATTGTCAACCTCAGACGGATGTCTTTTACGAATGTGCTGCATCACTTGGTTCTTAAACCAGAATGAGGCTTTACATAACTGGCACTGGAAAATCACAATATCTTTTTCGAAATGCATTGACAAATGGCACTGCACTTTACTCAAGAAATTAAACACCTTTCCGCACAGGTAGCATTTGTACAGGCTCGTCTCTTTACCGGTGGCTAGGTTAACACCATCCAGCCGTGTGATGAGCACTGTTTCGTTGCGGATGCTGATTCTACTTTTAGTGAAGTGAGACCCATGGATGATCTCAGCCCCGACCATACTGGTTCCGTCTTTGATCATGTCGGTGATGTCCGGTGGATCCATGTTGTCCGAATTCATCAACACGTCATCTGAGTTTTCCGACATGTTGATAGGATTTGCCAACTTGCCCTGACCTCCGTTTGATATCTTATGTTTGAACAACCCTGTCGACTCGTCTAGCTCGACCTCGTCGTCCTGATAGGAGTTTGTGTAGCCACAACTGTAGAAGACTTTATTACTCTCCTCCATTGTGTAACTGTCTACGTTGTGTAAGGACGATGTTTCGTCAGAGTCCATGTCTTCCAGATCCATTTCAGAACTGTTGGGAATTTGAGGTTTCGGAGTGTCCTGCAGGTTGGGATGAGCCATTTTTAATGCTATAGAATTGAGATTGTTTTGCTTTTTCAGTCGGAGGAAACGCTCTTCGAGGCCTGGACTGAGCTCAATGTCAAATCCATGGGCAGACTTTTTGTGGTACAGCATGCTGTTCTTGGCACGAAATGGTTTACCACATATCTGGAAAGACATACAAATTTCATTCAGTAACGTTACTTATTAAAAACAACATATTGTTAAATATAAACATTGTCTATGTTGCAGTACATGAAAAATGTAATGAATACCAGTGTTTATGACTTCAGGTCTTAGTGTTTTCCTCAAAGTAAAAGATGGATCTGAAGCATTTTTCTATAACATATTCTCTATACATTATAATTGTGTAACATAATATTATGGAGATATTGTTCTGGGCTTTTCAAGTAGTTCTTACAACTTGTTATTCAAGTGCGTTCTTGAAATAACAGGAGACAAGATACAGAGACATCTAACAGGAGACAAGATACAAAGACATCTAACAGGAGCCAGGTACAGTACAGAGACATCTAACAGGAGACAGGTGCAGTACAGAGACATCTAACAGGAGACAGAGGTACAGGACAGAGACATCTAACAGAAGACAGAGGTACAGTACAGAGCCATCTAACAGGAGACAGAGGTACAGTACAGAGACATCTAACAGGAGAAATCTAACAAGAGACATCTAACAGGAGACAGAGGTACAGTACAGTGACATCTAACAGGAGACATCTAACAGGAGACATCTAACAGGAGACATCTAACAGGAGACAGAGGAACAGTACAGAGACATCTTACAGGAGACAAGATACAAAGACATCTAACAGGAGCCAGGTACAGTACAGAGACATCTAACAGGAGACAGGTGCAGTACAGAGACATCTAACAGGAGACAGAGGTACAGTACAGAGACATCTAACAGGAGCCATCTAACAGGAGACATCTAACAGGAGACAGAGGTACAGTACAGAGACATCTAACAGGAGAAATCTAACAAGAGACATCTAACAGGAGACAGAGGTACAGTACAGAGACATCTAACAGGAGCCATCTAACAGGAGACATCTAACAGGAGACAGAGGTACAGTACAGAGACATCTAACAGGAGACAAGATACAAAGACATCTAACAGGAGACAGGTACAGTACCGAGACATCTAACAGGAGACAGAGGTACAGTACAGTGACATCTAACAGGAGACATCTAACAGGAGACATCTAACAGGAGACATCTAACAGGAGACAGAGGTACAGTACAGAGACATCTAACAGGAGACATCTAACAGGAGACATCTAACAGGAGACAGAGGTACAGTACAGAGACATCTAACAGGAGACAGAGGTACAGTACAGAGACATCTAACAGGAGACAGAGGTACAGTACAGAGACATCGAAGTTATCAAGAAATGTAACTCAAACACTTGAAAATCAGGGGTTTATCAGTGGGGTTTGTGAAACAGACACTGGGATGAAATTGGGAATTGAATGGTCATTTGACAAATTATGTCAAATTATCTTAGTTTATCTTTATGACTGATGATTCTCTCCTGTCTACATGACTCGGTCAATCGAGAGGAATTCATTCAAATGAATGCATTCCTTGTTTTAAATTTCCTATGTGGAAAATTTTAAGGGAACAAATTCGACAAAATCACACTTTTTAGACTGGGTCTTAAAAGTACCCCGATGAACCTCCAAAAATCATAGCAAATGAAACAAGAAAGTGATCTCCCTTTGTTTCGTCGTCATGGCTATACTCACATCACATTTAAACGGACGCTCCCCTGTGTGACACATCATGTGTCGTTTGAGGTCGCTGGGTTTGAGGCAGAGTTTACCACACACGTAGCATGTGCGGTCACTCTGACTCTCCACGTCGGCACCACTCTCGGGACTCGTGCTCGAGTCCTTCCCGTCCTGCCTGGTCATGCCATCCATCAGCGTCACCTCCGGCGAGTCGTCCCCTTTGAAACGCTTGGTTCCGTCAGGCGAGATGAGCTCAGCTCGTAACTGGTCCATCTCTAGTTTGCGTTTCCGCATCAGAGAGTACTTTTGAGATATGTTACTGTTTTCACTCTTAATGCCGTGATGCATGAACTGATGGTACTGGAGACTACGCTTGGCTTTAAACATTCGACTACACATCTGAAATCAAACAATCACACATGATCAAATTTCACGAAACAATTTTTTGTTTCTCCCATAATTACTTTTTTTCCCCAATGAATTCTGTATTTTCTCGAATCATATGAAGACTTTGAAGAAAATCCAGCATCATTAGAAAGTATTTCCGAAGTCCTTATATAACCCAAAACCAGAAGAATTATTTTCATATTGACGTACCTTGCATTTGAACGGACGTTCCCCGGTGTGTTTGCGGATATGCCGCTGGAGGTCTGCTGGACTTTTCTTTACAACTGCACAGAACTCACATGTCCTGTCCTTTAGAGAGCTACTGAACCCTTTACTCAGAGTGCTCTCCCCTTGACTGTTCACTTCCTTCTTGGTTTCTCCATCATCACTTGCCTCGTCGATACAAAGCTGCCCCTCGTCTTCCTCATCTAGCTCCATAATTTCATCATCGTCCTTGTCACTTTCATTATTTTCTGAATTTTTATCTTCGATCTCGTCCTCAGCTTTCTCCGATTTGCAATCACTGTGAAGGTCGTTGTCACCAGAGTTTTCGTTTTCTTCCATTTCTCCTTCCTTCATCTCGCTGTTTTTAACTTCAATATCCAACGTTTCACTTACATCACCTTTACCACACAAATGGTCAGTTTCCTCATCCGATGAAACATCTTTGATTTTTCCTTTTGTTTCATTTTTCTTTGTTTTGTCAATAACTAATTGTTCAGTTTCATTGTCAGATGTGCAATCCTTTTTCGAAAGTTTAGCATCCTGGTCCTCATCACTCGAATCTTTCTCAGATTTTTCCTGATCTGAGGAATCATCATCATTGGGAATGTTTTCAGTAATATCTACCTTATCCTCGGAATTGTCTACATTTTCATCCGACTTTTCGGTATAAAATACCACCATATCACAGGGTTCATTCTTCATTTCAGCTTCCTCATTCACCTCTTCCTCGCTTTCCTCACTACTTTCATCCTCTACTGGTATTTCCTTTCCTTTCTTTTGTATCTCTGTCTTACTGTCACTCTTCTTCGAAGTGATGTAGCCGGGAGTTTTCCCTGAAGGAGGTGCTCCTTTACTTCTTGTTACTCTGGTGGTTCGTAGTGGGGTCACAATATTTCCATTGTCGTCTGCAATTGCCTTTTTGTGAACAGTAGACTTTCTTGTAGCTTTCGTGGGGCTTTCATCTTCTTCTTCACCTGAAGGATCAGAAAAACAGAATAGTAACTATATTGTAAGCAAATCATGAATGACCTATTTCTCATCCAGAAATAACCTGAATTTTTCAAAAATGAGATTTACACACACCCCTTCCCTCTCTTTTTTCTTTATTTTAGAATTTTGTTCAATGAATGCATTTTTTTTGCAGTAAATATGCAATATTTATTCTTAGTTTAATATGAAATCCAATATGATGGTTATTTCAATGTTTGTTGTGAAATTATCTGTATTTTTAAAACTAGTGAAAATCTTTGTTATTTTCCCAATTAAAAGAGACCTATTTTTTCTATTTGAGAAAAAAAGCATGAAAAATCTTTGACATGTACGAGACTGTTTCTATATTGAATTGGTGAGGGAAAAGGCTCATGCAAACAGGTGTTTTACAGTCTGCAATACAGCCTGACTATCTCACACATATCACGAGCAAATGACCAATACCTGCAGCCAAATGGTGTCCGAACTGATCTCTATCTTGATTTACTGGTCAACTATATACTTTTGAATTGTGAGAAACATGCTTACAGCTATGTTCACTGCCTGTGATGTTTGGCGACTGAAGCAGGTGACAAACCTACAAACCTGTTGTTATTTTACTTATGTGTGTTTGACTTACTCAAACAAATGGACACATACATATATACCCGGCAATGTAGCATGTAGTGTAGTGTATGTACACGTGACAATTCATTCTGAGTCTATACAGTACAAATTAATTTTAACCATTTATTCATCAAAATCTTCATAAAACACATAAATGAAGTAAATTATTTTAACATGAATTCTTATTGAACTGCCAATAACTAATAGTTTGTTTACACGAAAAAAAAATCCTGAAGTTTCTAATTTTATAATAGTTCAGGCTTTTTTCTAACATTTGTTTTGTTGAACTCTATCCCGACCAAACAAAAAGAAATGACAACATTGCTGACGAGTGTTTACCTTTAAGTATTTCCCAGCTATTTTGACAATTAATTGCCATGTTCCTAAAGTTGGACAAAATTGGCAGCATATCGCAACTTTTAAATCCAATTTTTCCCTTTTCTCTCTCTAATCCCCCCCCCGGATTTCAAAGGTTGAATGAATAAACCACAACCAGCAATCAAAATATGGATCAATTGTTATGATTTGTTTATAAACACCATGGTATTATATATCTGTGCTATAATATTACAGTCCTGGGGCAGAGAAGGAACTCTTAGGTGTGATAAGGAAATGCTAATTACACAATTGGTGACCTGCATAATTAGAACACCCTGTTTCCAGACTCTTATCTAAACAAGTCTGTCAATGAAAAGCAATTACCATAACAGCCATTATGGCACTAGGGTTACTTTATCTTTCATCTCCTCATAATCCTCTCGATAAAATTAGCCCCCAACGACTCCCTCCCCTATACACTATGCATACCAGATCAATTATTCACCAGACCTGAACTTAAAGGTGTCAAAAAAACCCGATTGAAAACCTTTAACGGTAATTAAACTCTTAACTGATCGATTGATGATTTTTAATTAAAAAAATATGACAGAAAAATAATTGTTCACAAGATGTCTTCAATAAGATTCAGTTTTGAAATTTTTAATATAAGTTTTACTTCCTTCATAAACAATGTGCGTATTAAACATTTACAAGATGTATAGTTTATCGTTTTCATATCATCACAATCTTTGAATATATGATATTGTTTTCACAATCTTTGTATATATATTACATGTATATCGTTTTCACAATTATGGACAAAACGAAAAATAATTGTCTTCATAAATTTATCTTTCTATCCTTGTACTTCTATATATACATCTTAGAAGAATGTGTCATTCACATACAAACATCATTCATAAAGGTCTAAAACAAAAAAGCGAAGATACTTTCACTACGACAAATCTCTGGTAAAATGTTCAAGTATAACTTCAAACAGCTCTGCTTTTACTTCAGAACCATTAGAAATGTTATCATCTACATGTATTTCAGACTGAAGCTTAAAGCTATACTTCAAGATGTACTGGCCATGGTATATTATGTCAGCAACAGTCTGACGCATGATCCGAGGATTATTACTTAACAGTTTACCAATAGTGTGACAAAATGGTTATTGATGATAACAAGTGATTCAATATGATAGAAATCGCTCATACCTATACGTAACATAATATAAATAAAGCAAAACATGAAGACTAGTTTAATCGACTAGCGCTTTTGTCCATCTATTGGGGCTCTTCAGGTGATTCACATACAAAGGGTAAAGAACTCTGTATAACAGGTATATATATACCTTGTGCTCGTAACATGATATATATATATATTTTATATGGGGCAAAGAAGTAATTCCAACAGTGAATTACTTCTTTGCCCCACATAATATTTTAAGTAATTCGTATCCTACGGACATACCTCCATTAGGATCCAGTGTTATATGGGACTTTACCGTCTATATTACTTCTTTGACCCATATATATATATATACAAAATTTACATTGTACTGTATTCCGTCTTCCCTTGTTACTAAATATCTGAAACGTGCGACTTAATTAAAATCCATTTTATATATAAAGCTCTATGGAAACTGTTACTTCACAGTTGTCTACTAAACCCACGTTTGCTTGATGTAGATTTGTTAGAAGGTAAAGTTATTATAATCAGAAAGTCTACTAACAAAGTTAAAGCCAACTGATCACAATCAAATGTGATTGATCAAACAGCTAGACATCAATATGAAAGAATTATTTATAACAATTTACGTACCTGTATCATAATTCATTTAAATCATTGATAACAGTATACCTTCACCACCTGAAATACGGCAGTGTACTCATACCTACAGCAGGTAACTCACTGTGTACCTGCTTCACACAAGTAAACACAAGTACGAGTATACATGTGTACACACATTCTGTTATGACAAATTTATATATACATGACATATATATATAAGATTACCTGAACTGGAGGAGTGAGATATGCTGTTTTTTCTAGCCTGATCTGATGTAGGTGAAATGGACATGATGTTTGGTTGGCCTTGTACATATATATAAATCCCTCACGTGTCACTTGGAATGCTATTTATAACCCAGCATGAGAACAGGTTCTTTTCAGAAGTCTGTATGTCTGACCACTGGTCAGCTATTGACCAGTCCACTCTAACATTGTGCGTGTAAAACTTTCACACTAGCCTCGGGTCACGCTGTGCGTCTCAGTCACAAGGTATACACACATTACCTGGTCGACCCATGGCTGAGAATGCATACCTGGTATACAAAATATACCAACACGTATACCTCGTGGCTAAACCAACTTGAGACTATCTAGGGGGTCATGTGACTTGCATTCCCTGTCAAATTCTTGGGCCCCGCAGGCACGACTATAGAGCGCTAGCATGCAAAGACACGCATCATGCACACGGTCAATAGAGCCAGGACTACCTGTACTAGCTGATCTGCCATGTGTGTGCGTGTCACCAGGTATGCCTGTCGATTACCTGAACCACAATTACCATACCTGGCCAAGCTATGGGAAAGCAGCCTGGTCACTCATTCACGTTCTCTCTCTACCACCACAGGTCAAGGGAGCTAGTGGAGGTACTGGTCACTCATGTGGTCAAAGGGTTTTATCTCCTTCCCCACTATAAGGTGTGGAACACTCCATGAATGTGAAGAATATTTCGAAACAGCACGACACAGAATTTTTTAGTCAAATTTGCGTGAGCACATTTCCGGCCTTTTCTTATCCCTGAAATCTGACCTCTGCATGCATGCATGTGTATTGTGTGCCTGTGGTGGGTGTTTACACCGCTCTGAAGTTAATTCGTGTGTATGTGTGTCAGCCCCCGTGCCTGATTTGAGGGTCGTTTATGTACCTATGGGTCGGATTTTAATCCAGCCTTGTCCTGTTTAGTCGGGTACATTGTAAGCCATCGACAGACTATCTCATACATGTGTGTATACACGACCATTGTACGAACTCTGTATAACAGGTATATATATATACACCTCATGCTCGGGTGCAAGAATACCTGCGGGCCACCTGATTGAGGATCTAGGTTATGTTAGCTACACGTACCATACATGATCATAAACCTATCCCGAGACAGCTATCAAAACCTGATCATGCATTTCATACACCAGCATACAGGTTCACTGAATGATGATTACAAAAAGTTCGCAAGTTTCTGGCAGACAGCGCTAATCGACATGAGCTTTGAAAAGCTTGATATGCAGTATGCAATATTAATGATATCACACGAATACAAAAATAAACTCTTATATTTAGACAGACTTGTTTTTATCAATTTAAATAGAAGTATTGGACAAACTTATTTTTTATGAACTTGGACCAAGTTGTTTTTATTAATTTCACGATAGGAATAGTTTTCTTTTTAGCTTTTACTACAAAACAAAGAAGTTTACACAAAACAATGATGTTTTTGTAACTTCTTTTAATAAGTTTTAAAGACGTTTTTTTGAACTTTTTCATTAGGACCATTTTTTCTTATAAACATTTACTGTTGGACTAACTTGTACTTATATAAATATGAACTTTTACTGAAGTTTTTTTTTCATATTATTTGGCATTTTCCTGCCAATTTTTTAAAATTTTATATGGGGATGTGGCATCAACACTAACACCAAATTCTTAAAACTTTTTTCAAACTCTTTATTTTTCAAAATACAGTTCCACAAATAGGAGATTCCCTAAAAGGTTTTCAAGTCCTTTAAACTCCCCTCGAGAAAATCCCCTCATTCTCTTAACATATATTACAGTAGCACTTAACAATCTGCTAAATAAAATGTGTCCCTTTTTGGTCTTCCAGGTAAATTACCCAGCTACTTTCCCCACAGATCTCACTGTGATCCTCCCCTCACTATTTAAATGCCCTGGGGAAATCTGTTTTGATTTTTTTTCAGGGCCCACTCAAGTCCACCTTTGTGAATGGAATTCGTGATTTGAGGTCAATGTGTATAATGAATGGGTGTATCTTTCGGGGTAGTTTACCGGTACAAATAACTCCTTATATGGAACGAGACTGGCGGAGGCAGTAAAAGCTATAGGAAACCGTTTGTCTGTCCTATTTCAGGGAAAAGAGATGGGCTTTCATAACCCACTGGACGATTGAAGATGCACACCATGTAACAAGTATGACATCATACAAGTACACACATTCGTGAGTCCTATAACATCTTCCTGTTTCTCTGGTCAAGTGCTGACCACTAGGATATATATATACAGCCTCAGGCCATCAACCACACGTCCATTTCACAGCCCAGGAAGGAACTGGACATCTAAAGTGTGTAGTATGTATTGCACAACTGACCAGCCGAACTTTATATTCACTTCACTGACCACTCACTTCCCAATGAACATGATCAGGGATGAAGACTTTACGACTCAGAAAGGTTTTCCAATACCTCCCTTTAGTCTGTAGTGTTATTTTATTACGAAGCGTGTTGAATCAATATGTAAAAACCTCAAACAAAATTGTCAATACAAGAGGCCAAAAATAAATTCCTTCACTTTCCTCAATATATTAAATTTCAACATATTTCATTCGACACCTTGACATTGCATTTAACTAGTGTTGGGCAATCAGTTTAAAATCATAATCAATTGCATAATTGGTTTAAGATTCTATGAGATTAAATACCCAAATAAAGTGAAAAACATTAATATTCCATCGACAGACAGAGCTGATAAATTCATAGTACAATGTAGGTTTTGTTCTTTTATAAAGAATGGATATCAAGCAACTTTTATGCAGTTTTATCAATCATATAGAAAATTTTGAGGAATATATGACTTTCAATGCATATTTCACATTGAAGACATTTAGTTCTTCGATATCAATGATGAACCAATTATATCAATTTTGGAATTTGTAACCAATAACCGGAATAAGAAAGGGCAAACTGATCCATTTTATCAATCAGTATCGATCACCAGTGCATCACTGCATGTAAGACCTGTATTTATATATAATATTATCCTAACTGTGACCTTGCAAATTGGTTTTTAGGTTAAGGTCATTTATTTGAACCTAGTCTTTGTAAGCAAAGCTATATTACACATGTTTCCTGATTTTAATAAAGCCTCAATATTATTGTTAGACATGTTTGATTTTTACCCATTTAATTAAACTTAACAATGAAAATGGTCCTAATCTATTATTTAATCTATTTCAACCAAACTGATAGCTGATCCTTTGCAATAAAGATTCCAAACAAATATGTTGCTCTGTGTATATACCTTGCATGAATTATACCCCTTACTGTTGAATTGTTTGATGCTTGTAACCCATTTCACACCTATGACCTTGAATGTGGGTCAAGGTAATTCTTCAATTAGATAAATCCTATATAGGGCCTTTATCACAGCAAGAAAAGCTGAAGCTGGACAGACAATGGATGTTACCTGTTATTGCATTATTAGCGGTCAGGCATGTGAAAAGTCGTTTTGTACCGATGTCATAAGAACAGACAATGGATTAATACCCTGGTGTTAACTAAAACAAACACTTGTCAAGTTGGTCCTATAGTGATGTGTTACACGCAAGTTTCAAATTTGCATAATTCCCACAAGTCGGTATATTTTTTCAATGTTCAATGTCCATTTTATTTCCAAAAGTTTACAACTTATAGGTACAGGATATTAATGCAATCCATACATATATAATACTTGTTTGCCAGGGCGGCAGTTTGCACATATGTATAAACAAATCCTTTAACTGCATTGGTTGTTGAAAAATAAAACCCCACTATACAGTAAATGATAATTTATGGGTTAATTGAAAAATGCTCACCTCTAGTCAGAAATACTGCACGCTGCTGGAAATCTAGATCTTTCTCAACACACGTTTTTACTGCAGAAGATTGGTGGATTAGTTTTTACAAACTTTCACCACATTATTAACAGTTTTGGTAAATCCTGGATTCTGTTCACCACAGAAACCAACTGGACATTACAATTGATTCGACTACCCGAGCTCTACCATTACGTAAAGAGCACTTTTCTAAGGTAGGTCAGCCTTAGGTTGTTGGTTTAACGTTCTGCTCGACACACACAATGGACAAGGCTATACATTTCTGGTAATCTACTTATTTCTGTATCAGATATAGGGGTGGTCAGTGCGGACACATACCGTACTGGTCAAACAGGTGGACATCATATTATGTAACATGAAATCGCTTGACCACATACTACGTACAGGTAAACCACACACATACATGTGTATACACTGTATAGGTGTCAAGTCCAGCAGGTACCTTCTATAAATCAACGCTAATAAAACATAAGATTCCAGTAGCCAAACACCTGTGGCTAGAATTTTTTTTAGGGCTATGCATCAAAATATTTTAATAATCACATATAACTTAGGGTGAACAAACTAAAGATAATATCTTGCGTTGATAGAATATTTTGGAATCTGCCTATAATGGCCGTAATACTCTAGAACTTGTAATCTACCACCAAAACATTCATGGATGTTAGAATGAATTACATTGAGTATGCATGACCATAAACATTTGAAGATATTTTAAATTTTGTTTCTTAACTTAATTACATTTTAACTAATATAAAAGAAAAACTTACAAGGTTTCAGTTTTTAAATATTAACTGGTTAATAATGTCAAACTAAAATTCAACATAAAACTTACAAAATTGACATTATGATAAGGACTGAAGTTTTCACTTATTTGGTCACCGCATAAAGTATTTTTCCCTTTTTCCAGTGATGTCAATCAAATTTTTATAATCATGCGTGTCAATTAAGCCTGCTCGATCAAGCAAGCATGCCATTTAACAGGCCCCATCAAAAATTGTAGTTTAGAATTATATTACACCTCCAGACAATCATGCCGTGCATTATAAACTTAATGACCCTCATTAGACCCAGACCTGAGCATTGTCCACCCCCACAGGTAAAACTGACCACTACCTGACAGGTAAAAATCTCTACAGGGGCGTATACACCATACACACACCTGAGCACATGTATCGTTATCTGTCCTCATGTGTCAACAACAAGGCTTCACCCTGCCATCCCTACAATCTAAATTTGACTCATCCAAATCAAAAGGTAGTTGAAGCTATTGTGGAGATGTAGGGGCTGAATGACATCAACAACACCGGACTTGACGCTAGTGACACATTTCACACCACTAGAAAATCACAAACACATGATAAAATGAAATTCCTCAATGATGGAGCGTCAACATTTCATGAAATTAACCTTTTGGGGGCCCCATTCTTGATATGCATGATCAAGGATACCTGCATACCACAGGGAACTAAATCAGTCATACACACACAAAACACAGAAAGGAGGTCGGCAACCTGGTGGAGAAATGTTTGGGCCTAACCATATCAGAATTTCCTGGTGTGAAAAATCTTTTGAAAGGAGAAGATTCTCTGTTTGAATGACTTCATTTAAAACTAT